CAATCCCTTAAACACTAGATATGGGAGAATCTAGGTGCCCGATTTCCGGATATACCTACTAACGAACATGTACCCAAAACCCTCAACCCTCAACGCTAAACCCTAGCCCTAAACCCTAAATCCTAAACCCTAAACCCTAAACCCGGTCCTTCGAAACAGCCTCCTCATCCATCTCCTGAGGCGACTTGCTGGCTCTTAGTAGCCTCTCAGCCATTGAATCCTACTTGTTTTGGTTTAAGGTTTAGGGTTTAGGGTTTAGGGTTTAGGGTTTAGGGTTTAGGGTTTAGGTTTAGGGTTTAGGGTTTAGGGTTTAGGGTTTAGGGTTTAGGGTTTAGGGTTTAGGGTTTAGGGTTTAGGGTTTACGGTTTAGGGTTTAGGGTTTAGGGTTTAGGGTTTAGGGTTTAGGGTTTAGGGTTTAGGGTTTGGGATCTGGGATTTGGGTGTTTTGGCTTATATAGGGCTTAGGGATCTGGGATTTGGGTATTTTGGGGCCTGAAGTTAGTAGGCTCGGAGCCCGAAGCCCAACATCAGGAATCCACACCCCCAAGCGCCACGAAAAGCACACCTATCCTAAACCCCAACACCCAACCCCTGCTTGAAGGGACGTTGGCAGCTATATCTGGTGTGGAGAGTAGTAGGTTATGCAGCCAGAAGCCCTGCGTAACCCGACAGTGAACTGCCAAGCCCCAAACCCCCAACACCCGAAACCCCAAACGCTCAGAAAAAAAAAAAAAAAAAACACAGAACCCTGAACCCGAAACCCTACACCCTAAACCCTAAATCCTGAACCCTAAACCCTAAACCCTAAACCCTAAACCCTAAACCCTGCTGCCTGAAGCAGTGACAGCGCCGTCTTCAGCTGCGAGCCCCTTTCACAGGCCGTCACGGCCGCGTTGTAGGAGAAGCTGTTGGCCTCCACCTCCCACTGCTTGGGGTTTAGGGTTTAGGGTTTAGGGTTTAGGGTTTAGGGTTTAGGGTTTAGGGTTTAGGGTTTAGGGTTTAGGGTTTGGGGTTTAGGGTTTAGGGTTAGGGCTAGGGTTTGTTTAGGTCACTTAAGTGGCGTAGGGGGCTCCCGCTCCTGGAGGCGGACCATCGACCGCAGCAGGTGAAGCGCAAGAGCCCATTCCTTAGGGAGCTCACAGCATTTTTCGGGTGCGGGGGTACGGTTTAGGGTTTAGGGTTTAGGGTTTAGGGTTTAGGGTTTAGGGTTTAGGGTTTAGGGTTTAGGGTTTAGGGTTTAGGGTTTAGGGTTTAGCGTTTAGGGTTTACGGTTGGGGCATTCAGAAATTGGGGCACAAGGTGTTCCTAAGAACCCCCCGCAAACCCGAAAACCCGAAATCCGTGCCTTGAGGATCTGCAGAGAGCAGGGCTCGTTTGGGGTGCGGGCGCTCGAGATGCAGGTTCAACCCCCTTTTGAGGTTGACTGTAAACCTGAACCCTGAACCCTGAACCCTAAACCCTCTCTCAACCCAAGCCACAGAAGCCTGAAAAGCCAAGACCCTCAAACCCTGAGCCCCAAGCCCCCAAAGCCTACAAAGCCCTCTTTTTTCGGCACGGCCAGCAGGCGATCACCGGCCTACATGAAGGTGCGCGGCAAGTTGTGGATCCCTGCCATAATCGCACCACAAAAGGGAACCCAACTCCCTAAGCAGGGCGATCAGGAGCGCGGGGGACAAGGCTTTGGGCGGGGGGAGCGGGGGTTCTCGATCTTGGCGGGGAGCTCAGGGCTTTGGGGGAGGGATTCAGAACTTTGCGGGATCCTAGGGTTTAGGGTTTAGGTTTTAGGGTTTAGGGTTTAGGGTTTAGGGTGTAGGGCTTAGGGCTTAGGGTTTAGGGTTTAGGGTTTAGGGCTTGTGGAATCCAAAAGGGGCGCCTCTGCCCCTCATCGCACCGCCTGCTCTTGTCGCAGAGGCCTTCCCATGAGCGCCACGAGGGCGTTCCTGGGCACAGATATCTTGCGAATTTGCCCTAAACCCTAAAAACCCTAAACCCTAAACCCTAAGAATAACATCACATATTATATTTTTTCTGCCTGGATGGTTTCGGGTTTAGGGTTGAACGAAATCAAGCGCCTCCTTGGCACGAATTTAGGTAGAGCAAGGGCAGGCTGCCTCTTGTAGGTTAAGCGCATAAGGGAAAAACAACGCCAAAACCCCACCCTTAGCATCATAAGGGTACCCTTACAACCCAAATACCTCTTTTGTTTCGTAAAGGACCCTGGAACCCCAAAACGGACAACCCTAAGCGCGCCTCCCTTAAAACCCCCTTCCCTAACCCTAAACCCTAAACCCTAAATATTAAACCCTAAACCCTTAACCCTTAACCCTAAACCTGAACCCTAAACTCTCATCAAAGTACCCACTGGGGGCTGCCGAGGCACTCCATCTGCATGGAACCGTCCAAGATGGCGGCGACGGTCCGGAAGACCTGGGGTGGAGAAACCCCCCCGACATCCCTACGGAGCGCGATTTTGAAGGTTTAGGGGTGTAGGGTTTAGGGCCCTCAAGCTATGAGCTAGGGTGCCCAGCAACCTAAGCGTGAAAAATCTCACAAAGGGCGTTCACCTCAGCTTATCACAGGGATAACTAAATCTCCCCACCTGTTCCTGCAAACACATGTTTCGGAGCATAGAGCATAGGGTCAAAGAAAGAAGAGAGACTTTTGTTTAGATATCACCCTGGAGGCTGGCAGTTCTAAGTCGCACTGATCAGCGTAGCACACTGCCACCGCCGCCGTCGGGACGCCCTCGACGGTCATCTCTTGCAGGATGTCCTCCAGCTTATCCCCTTTGGCCAGCCGGACACCCGTGGTCCGATTCCGGGACAGGGACCCAAAAGCCGTGAGCATCAGGTCCCCCACGCCACTGAGCCCGGAGATCGTGGCCGCATCCCCTCCCATGGCGGTGGCGAGCTTCTGGAGCTCCAGCTGCGCCTTGGTCACGTAGGCGGCCATGGTGTTGATGCCCAAGCCCCGGCCCTCAATCATGCCCGCCCCGATGGCCAAGGGGTTCTTGAGGGCCCCGCCGAGCTGGACGCCCACGACGTCCGTGGTGGTGTAGACGCGGAAGAAGAGGGTGGAGAGCATGCACTGGATCTTCTCGGCCATGGGTAAGTCTGCACAGGCCACCACCACCGCCGTGGGCTGCTTCATCATCAGCTCCTTTGAACTTCGCGCGCCCGGGGGCCAAGGCACAGGAATTCGGGTGGGAAAGCTTGGGTTTTTCTTGTTCCCGGTCCTTGGCAAAAGATGGCCCGCTGAGGTAGGCCAAGCACTGGCTGCGCCCCATCTCGCTGCAGATGGCATCGCCCAGGAGCTGTTTGGTTGGGAGGTACAGGCCCTTGCCTGGGTTCTTCAAAGCCTTTGAGGCCCAACATGAGGCTCAAAAGGCTCCCTAACAAACCTCTACTCCGAAGACCCTAAAAAAGTCCTTCAACCCCAAACCCCCTCAACCCCCGAATACACCTTGGGATGTTCCCCCTTATACTAACAATCCTTAATAGGAATTATTTATGGGGGGATACTATAATCCCTATTAAGAACCCTAAACCGCCGCACAAAGCAAAACTTACCTTGGTTGAAGCGCCAGGGAGCTGGTGATGCAGACGGGGACCTTTATTGGAAACGGTTTGGGAAGGCTTTCCGGCTGTTTTCCTGGACCCTAAACCCCAAACCCTAAACCCTCTTTGGGTACCCTAAATAAGAGGGGCCGCCTACCCCCTTAAACCCTAAACCCTTCAGTCCCTGCTTTCGACCACCTAAGCCCCTGAAGCCTGTGACACCTCAACCCCCTTGCACTTCTATCTCGAAACGCAACCCCCAACTAGCCAAAACTGTCACCCCGAAACCCCGAAGCCCTAAGCCCTAAACGCTAAACCCCAAACCCAGAACCCCAAACCCTAAACCCTAAGCCCAAACCTCAAACCCTAAGCCCTACACCCTAAAGCCACCTCCGCTGGGATCAGCTCCCGGTGCTCCGCCAAGAACTTGGGAGTCCCTTGCGCTGGCAGCCCGTGGATGATGAGCGCGCTCCCTCCAAGGGATTCGGGCTCTGGGTTTGGGGTTGGGAGGTGTTCTCCTGGGGAGTATAATAGGGGGTACTCTTATCCCTCTTAAAGACTGTTAGAAAAAGTGGGAACGTCCCAGGCTTGGGGTTTCTTTGGGTGTAGTTTAGCTGTGCGGCTGTGCGGGTGGCGAGAGGGACTAGAAGGTGGTTGGCAGATCCCTCGTAGTTTCTACGAGGAGGAGGAGGAGGAGGAGGAGTCGAAGGTGGTTGGCAGGTCCCTCGCGGGGCTCGTTAGCTGAAAGGGTTTGCGCCTCAGGCTGGATTCGGTCTAGAGGATGCCTTTCTGTCACGAAATCCCGTTTTCGGAACGTTCGAGAAGCGGGGACGGCCGTAATTTAGAATACATGAATAATTATGCAGAGCCAGTCCGGGATGCTCCAGGCGGCTTCAGGGTTTTGAATTGAGGCTTCGCGGTTTGGAACTCTGCAATTTTTACATTTCAATCCTAAAGCCTAAACCCCAAACCCGAAAAAGCCCCGTTCGGGCTTCACCTTCAATGGCTTCGGGGAGGCTGGTGGTGGCCCGCAGGTTCGGAGGAAGCTCGAACTCGCTGAGGGCTCGTGGATTCCGGTGCTTCAAGGTGATGCTGGAGGCCTGCTCCTCCTGTTGCAAGGGCCACCTGACTTGGGGACTAATTTAGATGAAATCCGCAAGGATTACTTAGGGTGTGCCTAAATGAAGTTCATGGTCCATCTGCCCTAGGAGAGATTACGGTAGTCTAACGTACATGATCCCCCAAACCCTAAACCCTAAACCCTAAACTCTCAACCCTAAACCCTAACCCTAAACCCTAAACCCTAAACCCCTAAACCCTAAACCCTAAACCCAAAACCCTAAACCCTAAACCCTAACCCTAAAAGGGTTCATTTAGGTCACTACGGTCCTGGCGGCAGTAGAGGACCACGTCATGGCCGGCGCGCGCTGCGACCATGGCCATCGCGGTCCCGAAACTCCCAGCGCCCAGTACCTTGAAGGTTCAGGGTTTAGGGTTTCACAAGAAATCTAGGGTTTAGGGTTTAGGGAGTTTAGGGCTTAGGGCTTAGGGCTTAGGGCTTAGGGCTTAGGGCTTAGGGGTTTAGGGTTTAGAGCTAGGGTTAGGGTTTAGGGCTTAAGGCTTGGGACCTAGGGTGTATCTGTTGCAGGTATGACAGTCTTAAACTCTAAACCCCTAGAAACCCTGATCAAGTTGTATGAAACCATACGTACAGTTCATTCGGTTCCCGAGGTGCTGCCACCTTTTTTGGCTCCGCCACTGGCAGCTTCGACTCTTGCGGATAAGGCGCCATGGCTCGCGCGACTTTACACCAGGAGCAACCCCGAAACCCCTAAAAGGGCTGAGGGTTTCCCGAGGCCCTATCAAGCCTCAATCGCAGAACATTTCAGGGGAGAGGCTTGCGCAGTCTGAGCGGGATGGAGGGGTTTAGGAGTTTGGGGCTTCGGGGCATTTACGGTAATTTGAATGGCACCCGCTTGGTGGCGACAAAAAGCCTGATGCAAAACACTTCGGATGCAAGACATGGCTTTCTTTGCTTTAACAGTATATAGGGAGTGAGGGAATTGGGTAGCCCTTTTTTTGGTAATCAGAGTACCTAGAGTCCCTCATCCCTTGTAAGAACTAGCAAGATAAACCCTGAACCCTAAGCCCCAAGCTTCTTCTGCCCAAGGCTCACGACCTTTTTCGCAGGCGCTGATGCATGCGCTGCAGGTGATGGCGTTGCACTCAATGCCCGCGCGCAGCCTAAGGAGGATGCCATGCATGTGGGGTGGTGCTCTACATTGAGCCCCACCCCTCATTTGGAGCCCAAATTTTGAATCTAATGTAGAGCAACCCCCTACTCAGGTATAACACGAGTATGAAGCGCAGGCTCGGGGCTTTAAAGCTCTTGAACTTCAAACCCCTCAACCCCCTAAATCCTACACACCTGCTGTTAATCAAAGATGGTCAGGTTGCAGACGACTTTGGTGTTGTGCACGTTCAAGTCAAGATGGGTCTAGGGCTTGGAGTTCATGAGGAAACTGCAATCTTGGGCCTCGTGGGTTTGGGGCGTTTGGGGCCTAGGGCATCGGGAGAATTCCTAAGCCCCCCAAGGGCGAAATGGAATTGCCGACCCGGGCCACATATCCTCGAGCAGCAGCAACATCATCGCCCAGTTCCCCGCCTCGAAAGTCGAACAACATGAAGAATAACTGCACTGACTCGGGGAAACAGCAAGAACCACCACAACCCAGCAGCAGCAGCAGCACTAGCGGTAGCGGTAGCGATAGCATAAGCAGCAGCAGCGGCAGCAGCTGGTGGTGGTGGTGGTGGTCGTAGTAGTAGTAGTAGTAGTAGTAGTAGTAGTAGTAGTAGTAGTAGTAGTAGTAGTAGCAGTAGCAGTAGCAGTAGCAGTAGCAGTAGTAGTAGTAGTAGTAGTAGTAGTAGTAGTAGTAGTAGTAGTAGTAGTAGTAGTAGTAGTAGTAGTAGTAGTAGTAGTAGGTGACACGCTCTTAACTGATCATGGTGTTTTCTGCTGTTTTTTTACTTTTTCTATCGTTTTCTCCTGTTTTTCCTCCGTTTGACGGGTTGGGGGGGGGTGGGGGGGTGGGGGGTAATTACGTGCTGTGCTTTGTGCACACATGACCACGCTCAGGGGTTGGGGGGGGGGGGGAATTACGTGCTGTGCTTTGTGCACACATGGGGGTCGTGCTGTGCTTTGTGCACACATGACCACGCTGTCTACTGTTTTCCTCTGTTTTTGTGGTTGGTTTAGGGGCTAGACCTTTTGGGCTCACAGTGGAGGGTGGTCCTCTAGGATTCTGACGTAGGTCTGTGCTGCCCCGGCTAGCAAGGCAGGGAGGGCTTGCTTCTGCAAGCGATGGCGTGACTCCACACTTTCACACGCTAGGGCATACTGTATGGAAACGGCGAGCGCCACCGCATGACGGAGAGAAATCCTCCAGCAACTTCATGTCTTCAGCTCAAACTACAGTTCAGGCGAGCTAAACTCGAGCAAGGCCCGGCCGGATTGAGGCTGTAAGGTCAAAGGACTTTTCGCCTTTCTCTGTGGGGTTTGGGGTTTAGGGTGTAAGGTCGAAGGAGTTTTGGGCTTGCAGTCAGGGTTTGGGGTTGAGGCTGTAAGGTGAAAGGACTTTTGGGCTTTTTCTATGGGATTTAAGGTTTAAGGGGGTGCTCATTCAGGGTACGCATGGGGTTTGGGGTTTCAGGCTCCAGATGTTTTGTGTTTTTTTCTGGGGACGTGCTTGACGCTGTGGGGTTGAGATTTTAAGGGTGCACGACTCTTGGGCTTGCTTCAGGTTTTGGGGTTTCGGATTTCAGGGTGCACGACTGTTCGGCTTGCTGGAGGCGTTCGGGTTTAAGGACAAGTTTGGCCACATCTTAGAAAACCCGCGAAACGCTGTAAATACCGGTCTTTTCCTCTGTTCTGAGAACACGTCTGTGCAAAGTAGGCCCTGTAATTGACCGTTTTTGAAGCCCGAAAACACTGTAAATACCGATGTTTTCCTCCTGCGCCTAAAGTAGTTGAAAGTAGTTTCCGGCAATTTTTACACGTCCATTTTTCGTGTCCGTAAACGGACAAAGCCAGGAAACACTGTAAATACCGAGGTTTTCGTCTCTTAACACGAAAATTGCATGCCACAAAACCCCTGCGATCAATTAAGAACGTCACACCTAGTAGGTGTAGTAGTAGTAGTAGTAGTAGTAGTAGTAGTAGTAGTAGTAGTAGTAGTAGTAGTAGTAGTAGTAGTAGTAGCAGTAGCAGTTGAGTAGGACGCAAGTTTGCAGCTACTCGTAGCGGGACTTGCCCATGACGGTTCTAGTGCTCATGAAGCACCGGTGCAAAGCACTGCCATGTACCTGACGCCAAGCTGAGCGACCGGCTGCGATTGGAATGAAATAGTAGTAGCAGTAGTAGTAGCAGTAGTAGCAGTAGTAGCAGTAGTGGTATAGTTGCAGCAGTTGCAGTTGCAGTTGCGGCAGCAAGCAAGTGAAACTACCTAAAACAGACCGAGAACATAAACTCCCAGATCCAAAAATGCGAAACCCCAAACCAGAGCCTCACCGAGCCCCCTACAGCCGAACCCACCCAAACTCGAAGCCCCAAAACCCAATCTCTTTAAAACCTACAACCGAATCTTTGCCCCAAACCGAAGAGCCTGACCCTCACTCTGAACCCAAGACCGTATAATGAAAGGCCATAACAAACCCGCAGAAGCAATTACCCCCCACAAGGCCCGGGCAAATCCTAAACCCTTAAACCCGGAAACCCGTAAAACCCCTAAACTCCCGAAAACCAAATCCCCAAACCCTAGACCCCTAAAACCCCTAAAACCCCTAAAACCACTAAAACCAAATCCCCAAATCCTGAACTCCTAAAACCCTAAGCCTTTAAATCCCTACGGTTTCCACCCGTGGCCGCCTTCTCACAGGCGGAGATCGCGGCGCTGCAGGTCACGGTGTTCCTGACAGGCTTAAGGTTTACGTGTAGGGGTTTCACGATTTAGGGCCGAAGGTTTAGGGTTTTAGGCTTTAGGGTTTTAGGGTTTAGGGTTTGGTGTTTAGGGTTGTTAGGGTTTTGGGGTTTAGGGGTTTGGTATAAACGGCTGTAGACCCTTCATCTTAGCCCGAAGCCCTGGAGCTCATAAGTCCCTGATGCTCAAAACCCTGAAAGCCCTAACCCTAAACCCTAAACCCAACAGCCTAAACCCGAAACCCGAAGCCCTAAACCCTGCAAAATAAACAAGCCTAAACCCAAACCCGGTAAAAAAAAAAAAAAACACGCTGAAACCCGAAACCCGAAACCCGAAACCCTAGAGCATAAACCCTCAACCCTAAACCCCTTAACAAAACAAGCGTGAACCCGAAACCCTGAACCTAAACCCTAACCCCTGAAAAAAAAATATTAAAAACAAAAAAATAAAAACGAAACCCTGAACTCTACAGAGAGTGCTGGGTGGCCTGGACAGACGATCCCGCTCCATGCGGATGAGGAAGGCCAGGGCCATCTGAGGCAGAGAGCTGCTAGGGTTTAGGGTTGAGGGTTGAGGGTTTAGGGTTTTAGGGTTTTAGGGTTTTAGGGTTTTAGGGTTTTAGGGTTTTAGGGTTTAGGGTTTAAGGGTTTAGGGTTTAGGGCTTAGGGTTTAGGGTTTAGGGCTTAGGGTTTAGGGTTTAGGGTTCAGGGTTTAGGGTTTAGGGCTTAGGGACTGAATCCTTAATCGGGATTAAAATAGGGGTACTATAATCCCTATTAAGGACTGTTCGTATAAGGCGCAAAATCCCAGACCATAGGGGCTTATTCATCGAACAGACTTCGGTCCGCATACCCCCAAAGCCTTATTCTAGTTATTAAGGCCCATATATTACAGAGAAGGGCGTGAAGGGGTTTGGGGGGTTTCGGGGCTTTAGGGTTTCTTGGGGTTTCGAGGCTTAGGCTTAGGGGTTAGGGGCTTTATGGGCTTTAGGGGCATTATGGGTTGAGGGCGCCGCCCTTTGTTTTGAGGAATCTGCTACCCAGATTTTGCCCCATGTCTCACGAAATATAAATGCTGAAACCCCGCGAAAAAATTGAAAACCCGAGCCTTCGCGAGGAGCTGGAGCCCCCGAACCCTACAAAGCCTGTAGGGACTTCGGAGTTTCGGGCTCAGGGCTCAGGGGCTTAAAGCCATGGAGCCCAAACCCTCCTATGCTCAACCGTTCTTGCAGAGCCCTTTGGCAACAAGCAGCTTTTGGGTTTAGGGTTTGGGGCTTAGGGTTTGGGGTTTAGGTTTTTACGGTTTAGGGTTTTTGGGTTTTAAGGTTTTATGGTTAGGATTTAGGGTTTAGGGTAACTTCAACCAAAAACAGTGCTCGGCCTGCCATTGCCCGCTTCTCTCGCAGGCGCTGATGATCGCCCCATACGTGACAACGCTCCGGGCCACCTCTTGCTTTAAGGCTCCAGG